GTAGAATTTTTAATCTCTGTGCTATTATTCTAAGTCTGATTTTACCTGTATTTTTTTCTGTGATGATTTAAAAAAGAAAAATGTAGTAGTGCAGGGAACATTGACTATACTGTTTAATATTTGATTTCTTAATTTAATTTGGGAGGCACAAGCTAAACTAATGATAGTTGGTTTAGTTCCATTTTTTGTTGTTTTCACAGTTTGGGGAGTTGACTCTAGATGTTTTTTCTTAGCATTTTCACAGAAGTCTTGACTTCATGTAGTGGCTTTCTGCTTCCGTTTTCTCAGCATGTTACTTATTTTTCTAAAACACAGGCAAGATATTAAATTTTCCCAAATGTGCTTCAGATTACACAAATAAGTTTATTTAAAAAGTAGTGTTTCCAGCCACTTTAAAACTGGTGAAAAGTGGGTTCTGTCACAAAAGGACCTTATTGGTTCAATGATAAAAAACCAAAACAAAACAACCCAAAACAAAAGAAATCCAACCCAGCCTTTTTTGGATGTTAGTTAGACATAGTTGGGGTAATGTTCTTATTTCAGCTGCTAATGTGGCTCAGAGTGCATAACTGAGTTATATTTATGACAAATGTCTTCACTGTACATCATTTGGAACCAGCTGTTCATTATTCTATGGCATTCGCTGCCTTATTTTTGACGATCATACTTCACAAAACCATAGAATCAAATTTGATGTAATTGAATAATGGAGTAATTACTGCATGTTACCTGAAACAAATGCTTTACAGACTTCTCTCAGACCCCCCTGAAGAACTAAAATTTAAGAAAAGGGGTCTTTTGTTTGCTGTAAACTATTCTACTACCTACAACAGAGCAAAACATAAATTTTGTCTAAATTTATGGGCTATGGAAGACTGTTTTCTGAAGTCACTGCACAGTACTTGAATCAGACACCAGAGGCTATTGCTGAGATGAGACTGAATATTTTGCTCAGTCTGATTAAAGACATTTAAATGCATGTGAGTGTTACTAGTGGGAGGATAGCAGTATTTCAGTATCTTTTTCTTACCTTTCTAGAATTGTGCAGCTCTGCTTCACCTGAGCCAAATTAGCTTTTATGACACTTTGACTAAAGAATGGCAGGTATATTTTGAGTTTGTGCTGCTAGGGAATGGTGACTTAAACATTCAGTGATAAATTTTGGGCCTACTCTTTTGTTACCAAGAGAGTTTCTGACAGCAGTGGAATTGTGTTCAGGTCTGTGGTGTTTACCTCAATAAGCTTACTTCTGATAGCTGTATTAATGCTGGGAATGCAACAGCTGTTTTATCGGTGTTAATGAACAGCGGTTGATCTGTTGTGTGGTGTGTACATGAGACAAGGCTTGCTGGCAGACAAATGGGTTCTTCATGTCTGTCAGTATAATTAAAGCAGTTTATTGTAAATGCTTGTATGGGTGCATACTACTGACTTTCATTCTATTCAAATACTTTAAATGTGGGTTGGTGGGGTTTTTTTTGTTGTTTTTTTTTTTAAATTTAAAAGTAGTCCTGTGTTTCTGAAAGGCAGAAGTGTTCTTCTAAAGTAAATTGCTGATCAATGTTACCTATTTGCCTTAGTGGCTCCCCAGTCATTTTAACACTTGGTTGATGTCAAGCTGGAAGGATATACCAAGTAAATCTATAAAGAAGTCTTTTCAGTATTTTTATTAATAATGTCAATCATGAAATAAGAGTGTATGCTTATTAAATTTGTAGGTAGTATGAATCTGAATGAAGGTTGCAAGTGCTTTTGGGGACACAAAATGCAGAAATGTTTCTGGCTGCTGGGGATAGCTTAGGTTATGGATGTGAATAGCAGGAAAAAAGGCTTAGGTCAGATCCGGTAGAAGGAACCTTTCTAGTGATGGGACGTGTTGTTGGTCTAACTTAAGTTGGAAAGCAAGCAAGGAACAAACTGGTGTTTGGCAGCCAAGCTGATCACAAAAGGTTTAAGCGTAGTAAATCCTGCCTGTGGCAGAACAATGGTCTTGCTGACATCCTGGTCTCACTTTTTGTGATCTGTCTTTAGTTTACCCAAAATATCTTCCTGAGAATGAAGAGTATCCTAGAGCTATCGAATATTTGCCAGATCATCAAAGCACAGCTCATGCTTGTAATGAAAATGTTTTTATATTAAATGCATTCTAGGACAAACATGTTGGCAATATCAGAAAGCTAGCACCTGTAAGACTGTTTGTGAAGCCTGGTAAAACATGGAGTTGGCAACTTAAAGCTGGGTGGTCTAGGTACTCTGAAAGTTTTTAAAAAAGATGTTAGTATTTGTCCTTTCCTGATCCTGTTTGTTTCCCAATTTAACTATGGCTAGGTTGTTTGTGCCTATTAGAAGTTAGTAAGGTTTAATAATGAAAATACTCGATTTTCCTGTGTCTAATTGCCAGACCAATAATATCTACAATCAGATGGAAGAGTGTGTTTTCTTGACTTTGGTGGTGTGGAGGTCAGTATCCTCAATAATTGCTTTTCTTGATAGTCTTTAACTATTAACCTGTGAAATTGGTCAGATAGCGTTCTAAAGATACATCTGTGTTTTTGCTACTGGTGTTCTTTTACCAAAACTACTGGAAGAATTAGGCCTAGAAGAGTTTTTGTTTTATGGGCTTACTGAAATGTACAGGTAGCCTGCCGCTGACTTTGCACTCTAAGTATTGTGTAGTTTTGGCCCAGGCCTCTGTCTTTACCGCTTCACTATACTGCGTTATAGCATTTGACCCATCTCACAGAGCAGCGCTATCAAAAACCTTTTTTGAGCTTTTAGTTAAAGAACTGAGAACATGAGGAAAACTGGAATATGCTTCTAGAATAACTTTTGTGTGGGAAGGCATTTATACCCAGTATCACTGAGCCATGGACAAACCTCTGTTAAAAACACCTTTCCGGTCCTTGGTACTCTGTGGTCACCAAATCTCACCAGCGGCCTTGTGCAGAAGGTATGTAAGTGAGCTAAGAACAAACTCTTTTCATGGCAGTTGGATAAATAGTAGTGTTAGGAACTTGACTAGTTTTCTAAAAACTATAAGACGAATTTATTAAGAAACCACATTATTAGTGCCTTTGTTGTCCCATGCCTAATAGCCAATTTACTAATAAATTGGCAATACTCCTTGGATCCTTTGTTATGTTCTTATTTGATATAAATCTAATCTCTCCCTTTGGTTTTGAGACTGCAAGTACCTTGGTCTGAAGATTTTGTTGTTTTTGTTGGGCTGATCTTCCATTATTGATACCTGTCCTGGTCCTTTCTAAAGATTTCATGATTCTCCCGCTTGGAGATGAGAACTGTATCTGAGTGAAGGAGAAAATTTTTTTTTTTCTTGCTGCAGTCTGCTCACATTTAGTTTGCTGTTTCTTAATTTAGCATTTCTTGTATCAGTTCATCTGTAAACATACACCCTTTTCTGTTTCTATACCGTTGCTGAGTATGATTAATCCATAAAAGTGAGCTTGGTTCCTGTTAGAAAGAGAAGCCATTTTTGTGATGGTTCTGTGACTCTAGAACTTCCTTCATTTGTTTTTTTTGTAGTCTGACGTAATTGGATTCTTTAGAAAATATCATTGGAATTTTTGTTGAAGTTAATTTAGAAGGGAGTGGATGACTTCAATAGAGTAACTTACAACAAGTTACTTGGGTGAGACATACCTTTAAACTTCTCTCTATTTAATGATGGCAGATTTTGTGCATCTTACCTTACAGTTTAATTCTGGTTTCAGAGGTACCTAAAACCCTGAGTCCGAGCTCATGGCATAAAAACCAACCAGCAGCTCAACTGAGTGGAGTTTAACACTTACAGGTTTGTTAGACTTCCTTCTAGAAGCTGGAACGTTTTAGTGTGTCGCTGGATATCTGCAATAGCCTGGTTTAGGCCAGAATACAACAATAACTGTCAGTTACCTGCTTCAGATTCCACAGCTCTTACTAATACTTAGTCACGTTACAGCAGCTTTAGATTAAAGTGAACTACATCTATGCTCACTGACTAACAGATCTGTACTCCGTTGTGCAGAGATGTGGAATACTTGTTTATTTGGGTCTGCATGTGAAACAGATGTCGGTATTTATTGTGTTTTCACTAGCTCAATTTCTAACAGTGTGTATATCATACTTAAAATATTTTTGAATCATTGACAGTTTTTCAGTGTCTACCTGCAGAGCATGATTCAGATACCCTTATAATTCAGGCAGTGTTTCATCCATTTCTTTCGTTTCTGTGCTACGGTTCAGCTTCAGGTAATATATTTCACACTATCTTGCATTCTCTTGCATATTGACAGATGTTTTGCTACCTGTTGGGAGAGCATAAGGTAGAAAAAGTATTCTTGGGTTTTAAATTTATGCAATTACTTTCCTTTGCCCATTTCCAAAAAAAAAAAAAAAAAATACTGGATTTTGACACTGTTTCCGGACATGTAGACTCTGTTTTCATTGAACCCAGAGATAATACGCAGTTTTTGGTGGCCCTGAGCATCTAGTTATTTCGTAAGGAACCTCAGTATGGCCTCTGAGACTCACTGTTAGTGACTAATTAAAAAAATCAGCTGCTTCTAGGAAGCTAATGAAATAGCTCCTGAAATCCATTCTATATAGTACCAGAAAGTATTTCAACAAGCTAATTTTGCCACATCTTTCTGGATCAGACCTTACACAAGATGCTTCATCCAATGTATAGAGGAGACAAGGTAAGGAATGTTATGGTTGTATATTCATTGCTACCTGCGATAGATTTGATTAGTGTGACAGTTTGGTAAAAAAAGCACAAATGTGGTGCTATAAATGACATGAGGATAGTTAGATTTTAAACCAGGTCTGTGTGAGAAAATAATACCAGAAAACAAGAGGGAAATAATGGTCAGAACACCACAAGTGTCATCCTCTTGTGACATAAGGATCTGAAAAGTACTCATTTCTTGTTTTTCCAATTACAGGGACTTGCCATGAGGTGCTGAAGCCTTGTTTCACTGATTCGGAGAGACTGGACCTAAATGGCGCAGCATGACTTTGCTCCAGCCTGGCTTAATTTTCCTACTCCACCATCATCAACAAAGGTATGTTCTTTGTTGTTCTTTTGAACAGGCACTCTCATTGTTAGAGAAGTCTAAATATCATAACCTCAATCATAGTAAAAATGCAAATCTCTTTATGAGTAGGGTGATAACAGATGGTGCCTAGCAAGTCGTCTTGTCATGATTTAAGTAGTTGTACCGTAGTTGTAAAGCTCATACCTCCAATAGAGTTTTTTTCTTGAGCAGCTGAATTTATGGAAGTAAGCATGTGCCTGGCCATGTTATCAGAGCTGTTGTTGGATTAAGATTGCCTTCATCAGGAGTTTAAAATGAGTTACTGTATTTTGTGCTAGAAGCACCAAGACAGAGGCATGTTTTTGATTGGTGTTCTTGCTTCTGATTTTTCTCTGTCCTATAAATTTTACAGAAGTGTTATTTTATCATCCAAGTGATTAAAAAAAAATTGCCTTTGAAATAGACCTTCTGAAATGGCTCTTCAGTTGCCGGTGGGATGCTTGTTAGTACTGGTGGACTGTGGCACTTTCAAATAGCTATGCCTCTTCACCCTGGTTGTTTCATATAGACTACTGTTACTGGCTTTATACAGTTAGCTTGGAAACAGGAAATAGCAATCTCTGAATCCTTAGGATTTGTGAATATTCTTAGGAAGTCATAAAACTATCTCATAAACATTTCTTTTTTTCTGGCCTATCCTTCTGCTCTTTCTTAGTTTGTACGAATGCAGAAGCAGAGGCACCACTGGATGTTCAAACTCCTGTCAGCTGTTTCTCTATTTGTAGACCTGTGTTCTTCATTGTAATCTTTTGAGTGCAATATCCGTGCATCTGCAGCTATGATAGTGGCATTGCCTTACTTTAATGTGTTTATGTAAGTTTCTTGCCATCTTTCATGTCCATGGGAAATGTTTAGCTTTTATAAACTTATGGAAATGGGCTTTGCTATTGTTAAATACACAGTTAGCTATCAGTATTAGTTGTGCTCCCATTGCTTTGTCTACACACAGAGGCATGTGGGTTTTTTTAGTCAGATCACTGAATGTTTTTATTCATATTGCTCTGTTTATTATCTTTCTTCTGCACTGACCTTGCTAGTTTCCTTGTTTAGTGTAGTGTATTAGCCACTCTCAGTTGCTGTTCTGGAGACATCAGGCCTATCTCTTCCAGGATGGTTCCTGCGGTCCAGTTGTTTTCATTCTACTTGATTTCTGATATATTGAAGTCTTTTGATTGGCTTTTTCCAATTTAATCTATTTTCAATTGGAAAAGTAATCAGAGCTTAGTTTAATATGATGTCACAAATTACAAAACAATCTTCACAACATATTTCAAAAAGGTGGAGGAAGAGCTTTACCTGCATGCTCAGAGTGTCAATTTAGCAGGATAAAAGAAAGTTCCAGAACTACTCCAGTACCACTGGGATATATCTGAGCTATGGGTTGTATTTGTCACCTCATTCCTGAATTGTGGGAAACTTCAGTGCAAGCATATGTTGTGGATCCTGTTCTCTTCCATGATTCTTTGCCTTAAGGAGTTTAGATAGACCTTCTTTCATCTCTTCAAAAAACTCAGTAGCTGTACGCTTTCTCCATTATAGTCTTTGTTCTTCATTGTTTGAAATGCAGCTTATATTCTTTCATTACCTCCTCCCTCAATGATCAGCATTCTGTGATACACAAGACGGGTCTCAAATATTGTGGCCCCCTGTCCCCTCCATTTCCTAGAACAGATTGTTATTTCTGCTTCCCATTTATCAACAGAGCAGCTGAAGAGAAGAGCGGGTAAGAGGGATGGAGATGAAGAGAGAGGATAGGGTGAGGAAGGCAAGGTGTCTCGTGTTTCATGCAGAATGGCGTTGGGGTATGAACAACACTTACACTTGATAAGGAGAAACTGAACTCTGCCTGCTCAGTTTTTATTTCCTTGAAGAGGCGCTTTTAGGAATTGCATCTTTAGGAGCTTGGTTTCCCCCCTCAAACCTGGGTAGCTGAGGCTTTTCCTGACCTAGGTAAAAGCTAGCATTAGGAAAACCTGATGCCAGGAAGCTGGCATCATGAATGATCTTTAGTAATGTGACTGATACAGATTACAGCTGGACTGAAATCCATCTCACCTGTTGCTGATCATGTCCTCTTAAGGATAAGATTTTATATCATCTCCCTGTCACTTTGTATAGCAAAGTTCACCTAAATATGTGGGTATCCATTGCTCGGTAGCTTTTGTTCAAGTCTGAAACTACTATATTCGTGTCGGTGCAGTATTGCAGCAGTTGGGCAGATGGAAATAGGAACATGTTGTGAATAGTGAAGCCATCTTGGAATATGTGTTAAGACATACTAGTTGTTTAACTTAAGTAAGTTTTAATTAGAATAAATTTATTAGGGTTATAATATAGTGTGATTTATGCTGGTTGCCTAACTTAGCATGAGTAGCTAGATCTGTTGAAGCTTTAGGCTGCAATGAAGTTCATTTTCTTAGTAATTTGCCGAGCAATTGGTGCATTGCTGTGTTTAGTCTTTTAGTATAAGGAAAACATTGATAACACAGTGGTGTTGTGGTAGCATTTTTCCAAAGTCTGGGACTTTTCGGTTTCCCATGTTCTGCCAGTGGGCGCAGGTGCACAAGAAGCGTCAACCAGAAGATAAGGAGGCTCCAACCGTCAGCAGAGACTGCAAATCAACCAGATAAGAGCAGTCAACAGCCTGCCTGCCTGGACACTGAGAAAGAATCCAATAAGGTGTTAGAAGACCCCAGAGCAAAAATCACCATTGGATTAAAAGACACGCGAACAGCATGTGAAGAGAGCATATTAAGGAATAAAACTACTTCTTATATTTCCAAAATCTGTTACTGTCTTTCCTGGCTGTCTGAACCTAGTCAGATAATTTCTCAACTTCCAGAAATGGCCAATAGATTTCCTGTTGATGACAAAGTTTACAGTCATCTCTGCAACAAGAGGCTTTATGGACTGTTAGCTCCATCATGTGGGGCAAAATGCAAACTGCATGATCTTTGCACACAGTTTAGAGACTTTAGATTCATTATATCATGTGCAACTCAAACTCTATATGTAAAATGCTGTCAATTATAGTTTGTGAAAATGTGATTGTTCTTCACAGTTCATAGAAAAAAAAGAAAGTCAAGCTCCAAAGGCAGTGGTAGAAGGTTATCATCTGCAAATGAACACATGAACCTATCTTCTAAAATTTTGCCTATGATCAGTAGATCTGGAGCTTTTGAAATTTTTGGTGGCTTATTAGAATTTGTTTATAAGGATTTATTTTTTACTTAAATATTGAGATGCGTTATGATAGTTTTTGAACAACAGAGATCTTCTGATAGTTTCTTGAGGTTTTCTGTTGTTGGTTTTTTTTTTTTTTTTTCCTCTCTCTCCAAGTTTGTCAAGGAATTAACTCACTTCACAGGGAAATCTGTTTTCATTTGACTTCTGTACGGTTTGGAAATACATGCTTTGTATTTTAAACATATCTTGCTTACCTGAGTTTGAATTTTAAGCACTGAATTTTGAATTTTTGGCAACAACATCAAAGTGTTATCAACATTTTTCTCATACTAAAGGGCTAAACAGAGCACTGTACCAGCTGCTAGGAAAATTACTAAGAAAACTAATACTGTTGTGGCCTAAGGCTTCAGCAAATCTAGCTACTCATGCTGAATAAGTGGCACTAGGCAAACAACATAAACCAGACCATGTTATAACCCTAAGTGATTTATTCTAATTAAATTTTACTTATTTTAGCTAAACAATTAACAACTCTCAACAACTGATTTCCCTTTTTTTTTTTTTCTTCTCACTTTGATCAGTGGAGTACTTTAAATATTAATATAGCTTGATTAGACATTGGTGGATAATATCTGTTGAAATAAACTTGGAGTTTTATTTTCAGGCATACACAATTTCTGCTGTACTTTTTTTCCTGAATGTTACTCAGTCTGGAAAGGGAGTGAGCTTCAGGCAGCAAAGTTGGTACTTTGGGTGCAGTAAAGTTGATACTCCCTGGAATCATTAAGCTTAGTTTGCTGACACAGTACGTTTCCACACAGCTATACATTTATGCACTTGTAGCTCTTTTGGCCCTGGGGTGTATTGGATCCCTCGTGCACGTGCAATACGATGGACATATATGTGCACAGTAAGTCTGCTGGGGTTAAAGGGGCTTTGCTTCATGGCCATTGATGGCTGGCTGCATGGCAGAGAGGTGCTGGGTAACACAGCCCGCTGCTGTCGCTCACTGGGAGATGTGTGGTGTGAACAACTGTGAGGCTAAGCACTACTTCTGCAGAATTAAAATTGAAAATTTACTCTTGATTTTTTAAAGATGTAACAGCAAAAGAAGTATTACTGTGTTAAAATAGTGAAGCCAGATAGAAGTAATAGGGAAGACAGCTGCTGTAAGATGTGATCTTTTTTGGTTGAGTGCCCTTTGAGTTCCAGTCAGGGTGTATTTTGATTTCTGAATGCTTTTCTCAATGTAAGGTTTCAGTTTATAAAGTCCTTCCTACTGATATATTAAGGATTTATTTCTTTACAATGTCTCCTATGCTCACTTGATAATTTGAAATTTGAAAATGACCAGCTGATAATTTGAAATACACTTTGAATCTGTACACTTTTGACTCTAGGTTTTATTTGTATTTCATAACTGGTTGCATTTGCCTTACTGAGTTATAATGACAGGACTAATTGGGCCTTTTTTGGGTACAGCTGCCTCTGGTGGAAGTGACTCCTTGCTTTCTATGGGATGCACGTGTCATCTCTGACTACCTAAATTAAGATCCCAGACTACTACTTCTCTGCCTTTGAAACTATCTCCTGTCCTTTCTTACTTTTTTATTATTTTATTTTTCTTCTGGTGGCATGCATGTCACCTGTGTTCTGTTCTGCCAAAACAAATTAGACACTTGGTTTTTTTACCTTGTGTCACAGGCATGGTCCTCAGTACTGTTTCAGTGTCCTGGAGCAGAAGATAATAGTTTCCACTTTGCTAGCATGGGAGGTGGTGACACAGGTCTGAACATATGCATACCTGAGGACTGCTGCATTGTCTGTCATTTGAAGTCCTTTTAAAAATGAATTGTATATACCATGAGTGATATGCATTTTACAGTTCTGATAATTCAGTTTTATTATTAATCAGATGTCTCAGGTCTACCACTTGTGCTCCTTTGCAGTCATCACTGAACTTCGAGAAACATTCTGAAAATTTGTCGTGGATAGAGAATCGCTGTGAAGCACATCGCAGAAGACACAACTCTTCAGATGGGTTTGATTCTAATACTGGAAGGCCTAATGGAGGTATAATTTAGCTTTCATGAAACATTTTGAATGCATTTACATCATTGCTTTGTAGCACTCTAGCTAGAAAAAAGTCTGGTGATAATAGCTCTCCTATGCTAAATTCTTATTCTGTAGTAAAATGGAGGTAATGGAAAGACAGGTTTTCTGGGAGAGGATGTGATGACTGAAGGTTGGTTAAAGTAGTGTGAGTCCAGGTGTATTTCTCTCTTCTGAAGAATAAGAGTGTCAAATTAATATTCTAGCTAACAACATGTAAATGAGAAACCAGAAAAGGAGGTTGACTTGTCTTAAAGTTGGACTACTATCCTCTTTCTCTGGCACTGTTTTGTTAGGTTCTTTCCTGTTGCTTATGTGAATGAAAACTTAAGTTTACTGTGCTATCATATTCCAGAGTATAGGGCTGCTGACTTAACTTCTCTAATAATTTTAAAAATATTCTTGTAAAATTGTTTGTAATTACATGTCTTTAAAATTTAAAACGCTAAGGGCATTTTGGGAGAAAAGAGAAGAATGGTTGGCGTTCACAAGGCAGAAGTGGTACAGAAAATATAAACCATCGTGGGGGATACCGTGGCGGAAGTTCCCGTGCGCGTACCAGCACTTTCTACTGTGGAAAAGGCCAAAGACTGCATGAAAACAAAGTACCTGATAATGAAACTGGGAAAAGGGAAGACAAAGAAGTACCCAAACAGTTTGAGGCTGAGGATTTTGTAAGTTAATTGTAATTATAATAAACAAGGTTTCATTGTTTCTGCAAGTGCCATTTTGTCCATTACAAGTTACTTCATGAGATTTCACCAGTTTCAGATCATCATATAAGGGATCACCTTTCCCATAGGTAAGAGGGTGTTAGTCATGTCTCCGCTAACTTGTTTTTCCTTTTATATCCAATTTTTGTCAGTTTTTGTTATTCTGTGTTTATTATTGTCACTTAAGTATTTAAGTGAAACTACAATTGGGTTCCAGCTCACTATGGTAGGTGTATGTATTAAATTCTACAGTTACCTTCATGGAAACTTGAAGTACTAACAAAGTGATCTTTCTGCCAGTGGCCCTTTGAGGTCCCACGTTTCAACTAAAATTGTAGGATGTAAGAGGAAGGGTGAACTTCCTCTTTGAAGAACCATATATCACTGCTTTTTAATTTCTCTGGACAGTTCATGTAATGAACTACCTGAGATGTTTTGTTGGAGAAGAGAGACAAGTGAACATTGACCTGTTTGGGTTGCAGGGGGAAGTCTGTTGTCTGTCTCCATTTAAAAGTCTTAGGCAGCAGAGGTTATACTGCTGATACTATTCTGATTCTTTATTTCATTGGTCGCAGAATTCAAGACTTATTTTTTAATAATAACAAAACTTTCTTTCAGCCATGTTTGAACCCCCAATATGAGAGAGAACCAAACCAGAATAAATCTTTAGCTGCGGGTGTGTGGGGTGAGTATTTTTGATGCTTTTAAATGTAAAAAATACAAGACATCTGAAGTTGTTTTATTTGAAACATAGGAATTTTTTCTTACAATTATAAAGGTATAGATTTCAGTTTCAAAGGTATAGATTGAAATTGGGGAAACTTCAATATTATTACAATGTAAGTATCTTCTTGTTAGAGAGGTAATGCTTCTATTTGAATATTCATCTGTTGGTCTGTAGATGCAGCCACAACTAGGATTCTTTCTCAGAAAAAATATACATCTTTTTTGTAAAGATGTCAAGGATCTATCTTTGCCTTTGTTTTCAAGAGGAAATGCAATGCAGGTGGGTCACCTAAACTAGTCATGTGATTGCTAGCTGAAGACTTTGTAAAAGAATGCTTCTGACTGATTAGAGCTGTTGGAAGAGTTTGGAGAGAACCCTAGAAAGGCTGGAAAGAGTAGGTTAGTTTGCAGAGGTTTAAGGTCGCTTCCTGGAAGGAAACGTCTTAAGGTGTTGGTTGTGTTTACAAATTACTTGTAACAGATCCAATCGTAAGAGTTGGCATTCAACTGGACTTTCGTCTGGGATTGTTTTCTCAACTCTACCTGATTAAATTTGGCTGCCACGATACAATTCTGTGGGCTTTATGTAGTGAATTGTTCACCCTGAAGAAGGTGGCAGCTTTAGATTGCACAGGTTTTAAAGTAATAAACTTACTCAAAATAAGAATAATTTTCCTTATGAAGAAATAGCTTTAATTAAATATAAAAGCTACTACTAAAACTGTTGCTAATGCTGAGATCTGAAGCTTGTCGCTCATTTTAAACGGTACTTTAATTTGCTGATTCTTTTTCTCATACTGGTATGTTCTGCACTCTTAGGTAGATGTAGGCCACCCCCTCGATATAAATATCTGATTACTGAGAACTTTCTCGTTTTGTGTGTTTAGCAGCTTTCATGCAAAAGCCAGGAAATACAGTTATCTTTCAATAAAAGATCAACAATAACTAAATTCTTTCCTAACCAAGTTGTGAAAAACTACATAGCAATTTGAGTGTTTTACCTTTGCAGTGCTCTGGCTGTAGCTGCTGCATGGTGTGGCTCAGTTTGATCTGAAGGAGAGGAAGCTTTCCAGGCTTTCTGGATATCACTTTTCCTATGCAAAGAAAGGAACAGCTCTGTTAGCTACATAAAATCATAGAATGGTTTGTCTTGAAAGGGACCTTTAAAGATCATCTAGTCCAACCTGTAAGCCACAGTGCAGTGGCTCGTTACAGCTTGGTATCTCAGCTCTGCTATTGCAAACCTTGTTTTGTAATTGAAAAACTGAAATTAAAGCTATTATTATTCCCTTTTAAAGTAAACAATATTCAGGAGAGGAGGAATATTGCCATCTTCTTCTAATGCCTGTTGAAAATATATGCTTCTGTTAGATTCCATTTTAACTTGTATATCTGTGACGGGAGTATGTGAGCATTATAAAAAGGTCTTTTCATAAAGTTTAATGAGAGCTAAGTATACAGTTATCATGAGTGTTTTGTCACTTACGCTTTTAAGATAGGTTCTTTTAAATGTGGGATATGACGAGACTGCACATGAAGTAGAAGAGCTTGCAGGGAGAGGAGATAGTCTTGGAAAAGGGTGTTAATGCAGCATTGGAACACATGTGCAAAAAATACTTTAATTATTTTTTCACTTTTTGAAAATTTTAGAACTTTTTAAAATAGGTGTTCTTTAAAACTATTGTCAGTTACTTAGTATAGCAGCTGACTGTGTGTCTCTAAATTAGAGCTCTCCTGAACATGGAAATGTAAGCTTCAGATGTTCTGTTACGCCCACCTGAGGCATGGAGGTAGAGAAGCTGGACATTGCCATGGTCTACAGTAGTGCACATCCCTTGGATTATGTTTATAGAGCCTCAGTGTGGAGCATTTGGCTCTAAACTGAGCTGTTAATAAATATATAAGTAATTATTCTTTTAGTAACCTTAAAGGGAAATATGAAAACCATAATTCCTTTTGAACATGAGGTAACTGTCAACAACTAATAGTATTTGGATTTTCAATTTGCAAACTGTGTATCTGTTTTCTTTGAAATTGCCAAGAGAAATATTTTACAAAGGGTGGTTGTAGAAAATGGAACAGAACCTGTGTTCATCCAGGTTTGTACGTGTGTATTTTATGGAACTAATACTGGATGAATTTCCTGATTTATGCCTGTTTGCTTTGGACTGTATGGCTATCTATTACCTTATGAACTAGAAACTTAAGATTGTATACACATGTGCACACACACATATATATAGATATATATACACACACGCGCGTATTTCTTTTTTTTTTCCAGAGTACCCTTTGAATCCTAAATCTAGATCTCCAAGAATGCTGGTCATTAAAAAGGGTAGTAAAAAAGAACTGCAGATATCTGGATTCCCAGTAGGAGGAGGTCTTCATTCACAGCCAGTAAGGGATGGAACTAGCACAAGTGTTTATAAAGGATTAGTCCCTAAACCTGTTACTCCACCCGCAAAGGTGAGTCTTGGATACCAGTGGCATGAACAACATGCTGAGAAAAATCATGCTGTAATTCTGAATGTGCTTATTTCACCCCTGAGAATATTGTTCCTAGAGTATTACGCTTTCAACTCTAGCTATGTGCAGCACACCTCAAAAGTGAATGGAAACAACTTTGTTGATGTTGAGATGATGTTGCAACCTATTAGTGTCATTCTGGTCCCTTTCCAAATGCAACTTTCCATGTTCATCTCTTGATTTTTGTTTCAGGAATGTTTTTTGTCCTCTTGAGACCATATGATGGAGTAGTCCTTAACTTTCTAACATGCTACATTATAAACAATATTTTCAGCTCTTGAAGACTCACATTTTTATTCTTAATACCTCAGATATGAGGGTCTTAATTGTTTTGAAATTTTAGTCTTTCTTTAAGAAGTGTAAACAGTATTTGTGAGTGGATGAATTGCTTATAAACAGTCTCTTTTCTACAAGTAAACAGGTGTTTGCACTAAATTATCGTTGTAGTTATGATTTGCTTTTGCTTAATCAAAATAGGATTCCTGGAAATAGTGCTCTGGTAGTTAATGACTCTTTAAATTGCTGTTTAAATTTTTGTTTAGCCTGCACAGTGGAAAAGCCAAGCAAAAGAAAATAAATTTGGGAATCCATTGCCTCATGAATCTCAATATGGTGCTGGCAATTTCGGTCCTTTCAAATCAACTGCCAAGGCATTTGCTGTATCACAAAATTCAGTGAAAGAGGTAAAGCAATGTCTGTAGTTTCTATCAAATCTATAAAAAGTTTAATTTGGGTAGATAAGGGGATCAGTAAATTTTATGCAGTATTGTATTAAATAAGTTTTTTTTGGAAGTCAGTGTGTGAGAAATAAGCAAGGCATATCACTGGCCATTAAGTACTGCACAATTTGCTTTGTCGATTTGATTTGGAGTGAAAATGGTGCGTTAGGAAGTATAACGTAAGAGGTTTAAACTTCAAAACTGCTAATGGTGTGGTACGCTTCAGAAGGTCCACTGTTCATTAGCATTGCTCCATAAACTGGCATCTCTGGGTTTACATGTAAGAACTATATATACTAAAATACAACTCCCTCTGCTTTTGACTGTGAATATATGTGAAACCTGAAACTACAGGTGCCAGGGAGTCCTTTTGTTTTTCATGGAAAGTTTTCTAAATGAATGAACTTCTAACATTCTTTCTTTTCTCTACATCAGTGTAATCGGTCAAATTCTTCATCGCCTGTTGACAAAGTTGGTCAGCCTCGTTTAACAAAATTGACAAGAATGCGTGCTGATAAGAAAAGTGAATTTTTGAAAGCATTGAAACAAGACAGAGTAGAAGAGGAACATGAAGACGAGAATCATGCTGGGCAAGAGAAGGTAGTTTTATTCACATCTACTGTTGAATCAGCAGTAGTAGCTTTAGGGTGGACCATAAACTACTTCTTATTTTGTTGTAAACAGCTGTTAAGTCATGGTCTTGTATCTCTAAATGAAGGAGAGGAATTATGTTTTGATCAATTTAAAATGTTGTTCCAAGTTCTACTTTTCCTCCAGTGCTTCTTAGTAGTTTCTTTTTTCCTTTCTACAGTATCTGTTCATATGTGTTAATAGCTGACGTACATCTGTGTAAAGACAATAAAAAGTATAAATTAAACTTAGTAAACTAAACCAATCACAGAATCATAGAGTTGTTTAGGTTGGAAAAGATCTTTAAGATCCTCGAGTCCAACTGTTAACCTAACACTGCCAAGTCCACCACTAAACCATGTCACTAAGCCCCACATCTACACATCCTTTATATACCTCCAGGAATGGTGACTGAACCCCCTCCCTGGGCAGCCTCTTCCCATGCTTGACAACCCTTTCTGTGAAGAACTTTCTCTTAATATCCAATCTAAATCTCTCCTGGCATAACTTGAGGTCATTTCCTCTTGTCCTATCACTTTTTACTTGGGGGAAGAGACTGACACCCACCTCTCTACAACCTCCTTTCAGGTAGTTGTAGAGATTGCTAATGTCTCCCCTCAGCCTCCATTTCTCCAGACTAAACAACCCCAGTTCACAGAATCACAGAATCGTTAGGGTTGGAAGGGACCTCTGGAGATCATCTAGTCCAACCCCCCTGCCAGAGCAGGGTCACCTACAGCACGTTACACAGGACAGCGTCCAGGCGGGTTTTGAATGTCTCCAGAGTGGGAGACTCCACCACCTCTCTGGGCAGCCTGTTCCAGTGCTCCACTACCCTCAAAGTAAAGAAGTTCCTTCTCATGTTAAGATGGAACTTCCTATGTTCAAGTTTATGCCCATTACCCCTCGTCCTATCACTGGGCGCCACTGAAAAAAGACTACTCCCATCCCCCTGGCATCCTCCCATTAAGTATTTGTAAGTATTAATAAGATCCCCCCTCAATCTTCTTTTCTCTAGACTAAAGAGACCCAAGTCCCTAAGCCTTTCTCCATAGGAGAGATGTTCCAATCCCCTAATCATCTTCGTTGCCCTGTGCTGGACCCTCTCCAGCAGTTCCCTGTCTTTCTTGAACTGGGGAGCCCAGAACTGGACACAGTACTCCAGATGCGGTCTCACCAGGGCAGAGTAGAGGGGGAGGATGACCTCCCTCGACCTGCTGGCCACACTCTTCTTGATGCACCCCAGGATGCCATTCGCCTTCTTGGCCGCCAGGGCACATTGCTGGCTCATGGTCATCCTGTTGTCCACCAGGACTCCCAGGTCCCTCTCCACAGAGCTGCTCTCCAAGAGGTCAGCCCCCAACCTGTACTGATGCATGGGGTTATTCCTCCCCAGATGCAGCACCCTACACTTCCCCTTGTTGAATTTCATCAGGATTCTCTCTGCCCAACTCTCCAGCCTGTCCAGGTCTCGCTGTATGCCAGCACAGCCTTCTGGCGTGTCAGGTCTGTCAAGCAACACCCCCAGGTCCTTGTCCACTGGGCAGCTTTCCAGCCACTCTTCCACAGGTTCTGTAGTGCTTCATGGGGTTGTTGTGACCTAAGAGCAGGACCTGGCACTTGGCCTTGTTGAACCTCATACCATTGTCCTCGGCCCGTCGATTCAGTCTGTCCACATCCCTCTGTAGAGCTTTCCTACCCTCAAGCACATCAACAATTCCACCCAACCGGGTGTCATCTGGAAGCTTCTTGAGGGTGCAGTCGTTCCCCTTGTCCAGGTCGTTGATAATGATATTAAACAGAACTGACTCCAGTACTGAGCCCTGGGGAACACCAGTTGTGACCAGCTTCCAGCAGGATTTAGCTCCATTCACCACAACTCTGTTACCCAGGAAGGAGTACACCCATCCAAGCCATGAGTTTCTCCAGGTGAATGCTGTGGGAAACCATGTCAAAAGCTTTACTGAAGTCCATGTAAACAACATCCACAGCCTTTCCCTTGTTCACTAAGCAGGTCACCTTGTCATAGAAGGAGATCAGGTTAGTCAGGCAGGACGTTCCTTTCCTAAGCCCATGCTGACTGGCCCTGATCACCTGGTTGTCCTGTACGTGCTATGTGATGGTACTCAAGCTGCTCTGTACCATAACCTTCCTGAGGTGCTGAGGTCACACTGACAGGCTTGTAGTTCTCCAGATCTTCCTTCTGGCCCTTCTTGTAAATGTTGCATTTGCTAACCTCCAGTTAACAAGGACCTCCCGGTTAGCCAGGATTACTGATAAATGATGGAGAGTGTCTTTTTGAGCACATCTGCCAGCACCCTCAGTATCCCTGGATGGATCCCATCCAGCCCCACAGACTTGTATAGCGTGGTGTTTCATACCTTGGCTGTTAGTTATCTCATAAAACAATTGAAAAATTTGGCTCTGCTTCTCAATCCATTTCCTTTCTAATAAGAGTGTTTAGATAGCCAGGAGTTCTCTTTCTTGGTCTAGTCATAGGAGGAATAGTTCAATTTATACATATATAAAGAACTTGGTTTTGCTTCGTAATTGAGAACCTGGAGCCCTATACTATCTGTTTATAATATGTGTCAGGGTTTTTCTCAATCTGGGTTGGTTTATGCAGTGCTTGCGTGGCACCAGAGAACATTTCTGTCAGTGCTACCAGCTGCCAACTAGCCATAAGCATAGCTATTATAAATAATCCAAGTCCACATAAGTGTTGTATTATTCAGGATGAGGTGATTACAAGCCTGTAATCACCTGTAATCACTGTAAATGAGTTGTTTAAAGTGTTTTCACAAAACAAAAAACCATCATAAATTACAAGTCGGTCAGAAAAATGCTGAGGTTTTGAGGAAGGTTTATTCAGATTCGGAGATGTGAAAGAATAAATGATGCCAATGTGTGTTGTTCATAAAAGTAAGATTGATTTTTCTGACCCTGTTCTTATTTCAGGCAAAATAAAATCTGCTTTAATGGGACTTAGCTGTATGTGTGAGTTAAGAAAGATCTACATCTTTCCGTTAGGTATTCTGTGGCTGAGCACTCTGAGATGGGTGTTGGGGGTAATGTTGTTCATGTGCGTTTAAGAAATACATGAAGATTTTGATTTAAGATTAGAAAGATATGGGGAAGTACTGTCTTGAGCTTCAGAATTCCAAAAATAATACATGAACTTGGTGGGGGTTTCTGATCTGAAATTGTCTTGAGTTCATAATATCTTTATGATACATAGGTGAAATGCATTTGGTTGTCCCATTGCACATAGCTGATTTTCAGAAGCAGGTGTATTTAAAAAAAAAAAAAAAAAAGGCTTTTAGTAGTGGAAGTTGTAATGTCCTTGGACAGGTGTGTGTAACGTATAGCCTGGAGTAGTTGCTGGTGAGTGTGTGCTTCCTGTTCCCTACTCTTGCTGTTTCACTAACAGGTATGAAAAGGTGTTAAACAAATCATGTAACTAATTGTTGTCCTATTTCCAACATTCATTTTAATGATCATCAGTAGAAGACGTGTGCAACTGAGTGGATGGGGAGATAACTGCACAGCAGTCTTCCAGAACATGATCTTGTTGATGGGGTTTTAAGACCTGCACTAACAGATTTCACCTCTGAAATAACAAGGCAAATCATAATCAGCAGTTGAATCATGCTTGGAAGAAGCTATTTTTCCCTGTATATATTAAACTTGTTTAATATTTTAATCAATTTTGTTTGATAATCTGAGATGCATTCTTCAGGCATGTGATTTAACAGCTGAATATATGTTTACTGAGATACTTGTTCTTAAGAAATTCTTGCTGAGCATTCTAAAATTTCTGAAAGCAGACAACACTGAGTTGGAGGGAAATGACGATGATGATCTCGATCCTGGACACACTAAGTATGGTTTCTTACAGGTGCAGAACTGACTGATTGAGTGATTGCCTCCTGCTATGCATAATGCTGTTACGTGCCTGGTTTAGGGATTTTGTTGTCAAAATGGTGTTAACTACATAATGATCTTACTCTCTCCTCTGTGTTTTTACAGTTGGTAAGACTTCTGATACTATTTGGCTCATTACTAAGTAATAATTACAGGTTGCGGAATGAGTAGAATAAAAAGAAACATTTCTGGTTTATAGGATTAAAGAACTTTTAATATTTGAGGGAACCTGACAGTTTGCTTTCTAAGTAAACTTCCTTCCTAGTTCTTATTTCATGGCTAGTAAGTTACAGTGGCTGTTAACAACAGCCAGAGAAGCTCTGGTGAGTGCGTGTGAGTACGGGACGTTGTTTGAATTTAAAAAGCAGTATCAGTCTTTCTGAACTTATGGCAGATGAATTTGCTGGTTGAGGTGTGGTGGCTGTGACCTGCCCCTTACACTAAGTAAACTTGAGAACTCATGCTTTCAAATTTCTGACACACATGGGTCTGATGTTTAATTAGGAACATTGTTTGTAAGTTCAACAGATAACCTATTATTTCTGTAAGTATGAAAGACAGCTTAAATAAGTTCAAATTTTAAGATATGTTTGAAACTTTGTAGAAAAAAGTTTGAAGCAGAGCATGGCAGTTGCTTTCTATATTACTTGATCAGTTGCATAACTTAAGATTTCTGTAGTATACAGGTATTGCAGTATCTAGAAGTATGAACAGAATTACCAACAAAGTTGTATAGTGTCTCTATAGTGTCTTAATTTAAACTAAACTGAATCACAGAATTGCAGCACTTGCAGACATTTACTTGTAAACTGAATTTACTTTTAAACTTTGTAATGTATAATTTTTTTAACAGAAGGATGACTCCTTTAACTTGCATAACAGCAACAGTCCTCATCATGAGAGAGATATAAACCAAAACTTTGAAAATGAAATTTCGCAGGAGAATGGCAATGCTTCAATTACATCTCAACAGGTCATTCGATCTTCAGCTTTCCCTCAGGCAGATGTTCTTTCCAGCTCACTTGAGGCGGAGCACAGGTATTTACTTCATGTAATATAAAAAGTGTTCCTTCGTGGTAAGTGCGCATGTCATAAATTCTTACTAGTTCAGAAGTCAGGACCTGAAAACTGAGAACACATAAAAAGTTTAATGAGTACTGTCAAAATTTAACTTCTAGACATGTACTAATATAACATGGAATATACTTTGTTTCTGCTAGACTTGTGTACTGACTTAAACTTGCTTTAGTAAAGATTGGATGTATTTCCTTATAAAGAAGTAAAGCAAACTGCCTAGTGACTTCATCCCTCTGATTTTGATCGGGAGGAACAATGCATGTAATCGCTGTTTGTATTAATAATACTTTAAATGCTGCATCTTACATAAATCTCCAGTGAGTTTTTCCTCATTGTTAAAGTAATTAATTATTTCCGTAGCTGACTAGTTGACACTGTCAGTGATATCACAGGACAGTGCACTGGAAAGGGAGAAAGTAACTTCAAAAAATGGTTGAAACCGTTCTAGTATCTCATAAAAGTAACTGCAGTAGCAACAGGTAGAGATGAGAATGATGCTGATGGGAAATCACAACTCAGTCCGGAGATGAGCTCTGTTAAACTCTTACTGTTTCTGGCAGCTACAGAATTACAGTAATAGATTAGCTAGATTTTTTAATTATTTTTTTTTTTTTTTTAGTGATAGATTCTCTGTATATATTGGACTAGAGAGCTTTCCTCTGCAGGTACTACAAAAAGGAAAGTTTCATGACTTCTTATCCTTCATGAGTATAAAAAGTGAAATGCACCCTGATCTGTTCGGTTTTTTTTCTCCAACACTGGCTATGGAGACAGAAATCTTTGACCTCTAGAGGCTGCTGGTGATGATTTTTTTAACTAGAAGATGGGAGTTAAATCTAGCTATAATTTTTCAATTCAAATGACTCTGAATGGCCTTCATAGGGTTTTTAGTTTGTGGTATCCCAGAGAGGTTGTGTCTCCGTACTGTCTTAGCCCTTTGGCAGTGACCTCTCCATGCATGTAAACAGATGTTACAGTAAGTCTTTCTGTGGTAAGTTGGACTTGAAGTGACCAGCTTAACTCACAGGATATTTGCGCATACCTAGTAACAGTGTTGGCATATCTTGTACAAAATGTATCTTGGGTTCCTTTTCTGCTGGAAAAGTTTCCAACATGCAGCCATCCAGTTAGTATCAAGTTTGCTAATATGAAGTTTAATTTTTTTACGTAGTTCACACTTCTTAAATCATTCTAGAAGTCTAGTGTCACTTTAAATGGCCAGCAGTCCTGCTAACTTTAGACAATGTTGCTTAAAAGTTAATTAGCCATTGCCCTAAATTTTATTTACGTAACAGGAGCTCTGTAGCTATTGACTTCATTGTACATAATAATGTTAACATCCCAGGTTGCTTGCAGTAAACTTTCAACTCAAATTACTGTTGCCAAAAATATAACTATCATTGAACCTCATTTGGCATTGCGAGTCTTTTTCTGTATGTCTATACAAGTACACCTGTTCTAATATAAGAGAGTTTTGGATGAATTGTGTATTATTTCTTCTGCTTCCTGAGGACTGAATTGTTCCTGGCTATCATGTTGTTCAGTTTGGTCCAAATACTACAGAGGGTGTAATTTCCGTTTCTGTTATTGTCCTGTTAACTTCTTTGTTTAAACACAGTAGTACTGTTCTCCCCTTCTCCTTCTACAATTCCAGGCTTTTATTATGCTTTTAACAGTTGTTGGTGTCATTGGTCACCTGCAAGTTTGCCCAATGCACATCCGTTATGCACATATATTTACACATATGCGTAGGCAGAGCTTGAAACGTCTCACTTTGTGTAGTAAATTCTTTGATATTGTCCTTTTTAATTTAAAGGTTGTTAAAGGAAATGGGCTGGCAGGAAGACTGTGAAAATGATGAAACATGCGCTCCACTAACAGAGGATGAGATGAGGGAGTTCCTAGTCATTAGGGAACAGGTAACTTGAAGTTAATGTTCTGTTGTGAACTTGTAGTTGGCTACCCTAAATGCCTACCTTTGAGGAGGATCTGCAGTTGGGGATGTTGTTGTTTCAGTGCCTTTTCGGTATTGTGCTTTTGGAAGAACAGTTGCTTTAAAAAGATAGGGGGACCAGTACATATTGTAGGTAAGTCCTGTTCTCAAAATATCATGGGAAGGGTAAGGGAGTACTTGTGAGTAGTTTCAGCATTGCTGGTAGAAGAATTGCACAGGCTTTCCAGTTCCTCAGCATAGCCTGAGGAAAGGGAATTTTCTCAAAGTTTTTATGCAGTTTCCTTGGTTTTCCAAAATATGAATTTTCCCTGTTGGAAACTGAGACACATTTAATTCACTAGTAAAAAAGTCTGAAAAGGCAATCTAGACTTGATTTTTTTTTTTTTTTTTTTTTAGGAGTATTGTATATACCTGATGAAATCAGTGAGGTGGAGCTGGAAGGGAGAATCTTGTGCAGTGTTAAATCTGAACACTTGGTGTTCTCATAAGTCTTGCTACACCTGTATTAATTAGAGCGTTTGGAATATTAAGCTCTTAAATGCTTGGCTTATTGCCCAGCATCTGCACTATGTGTGGAAATGTAGTAATTCCTTTCTTGTTGTAGAATCAGTTGTTTCTTTTCTCTCCAGCATCTTTGACTTTCCAGCTGCATCAGGTAGACAGATTGGTGTACCCATTCCTCCCTGCTGCTTCTCCTCTTCTGGGTCCCTTCCTTATTGCAGACCCTGCCCTTCTTAGCACGGATGTTTGCAGCATTGTGGAAAAAGGGAATGCATTGCAGGAGAGACCATGTGGGAGGAGGGATCACTGGGGCAAGATGTCTGAGGAAGTGGGTGAGAAGAGGGTAAGCTCTCGTTGACTGCAGGAGCTTAGCACAATTGAAGGCCCTTGGGGACAGGTGGCTGGCCCAAAAGTGAAGGCTTTCAGGGGAGTTTTCCTTTGTGTGTATATACGAAAAGGTAGTTCTGTGGATCTAATGTAGCCCAGAGGTGAAGATGCAGAGGATGTTGAAATGCAACACGTTGTGTTTAGCTCTTTCTTTCTCTAAATACATCTTGTTTTTTCATTTCAGTTACAAAAAAATGGCCTTCGGAAAAACGGCATTTTGAAAAATGGCCTCATCTGTGGTTATAAATTTAGCCCCTGGAAAAACAGCACTTTCAAACCTACTCTGGAGAATGAGGATTCTGAGACGAGCAGCAGTGATACATCAGATGATGATGTGTGAAGACTTCTGTAACATCTGTAGGAGCCTGTTTTGATCTCATGAAAATTGGGGATGTGTTGTCCAAAAAGTATTTCTAATTTATGTAGTAACATACCCGGCTAGAGTAAGAATGATGGGACTTTTCTCTGAAGGAAGCAATGAATGTTGTGTTGGGTTTGTTGAACATGACTATAATTTCTTTGTAAACGAATGTTTAGAAGAGGCCTTGCGTTGACCCAGCATTGACTTTCTTCATCACTGAAGCGTTTCTGACTAGCAACATGACAATGTAACAAATCAGACTTTCTCAGTTAATAATAAAAACAAAGAATTGTGTAATGTGTTGCAAAGCTTCTGTCTTAAAATGTCCAAGTCTATAAGGAAAACAAGGGCAGCTTGACACAGTGTTTTGCTTGCCAAGTCATTTCTTTCTTACAGTGGAAATCCTTGAGTCCACTTTGTACGCAAAAAGGGCAATGTATCATGTAGGCTAAAATGAGCAAGTGCACTAAAACTCTTTTCCTTAATTGAACTATTGTACTGTTCTGCTTCTTCCACACATAACTCCTCTTTTGCCATTTTTAGTGTAGTCATCGTTATTAATGGCAAAAGATCCTGATATTACACTTCCAAATTCCTAGAACTAACCTTTAAATTGAAAGCTTTAGGGGATATTGCAAGACCCAGTATTCTCACAGGGAATGCATTTCTTGTGGGAGAATAAGCACTTTGATTTTACTATTCACATGCAGAAAAACAATTACACTGACTGGATTTGTCCACTACGTGGAAAATAAACTGATTTACAGAGTATTGTCTTAGTGCATAGCATCCAGGGGTATTGTTTTTAAATCTGGTAAGTTTTGTCTACATTTGTATTAAAAGTACTCTGGCAGCAGTGATTGTATTTCAGAATGAGGTAAAAATATTTTCATCACCAGATCGTGCTTTTATAGCAGCAGAAATATATCTATGCAATAAGCACCTGTTTCACTTACTTTGTGTCAAACTTTTTCTTTATGATCACATATTGAAAAACCAATATTGTATTATTTATAGTTTTTTTGGTTCTTTAGGTATCTTCCGTTGTTCAAACTATGGAGCATCAGTTCGTAAAGCACAACTGCTCTTGGTGATGTCACATACATTTATAACATAGCTTATATAGAGAGAGATATTCCCCCTTCAAGAATTTTTTGAATTGTACTATTTCTTATAGTAAGTAATTTGCAATTTAGAACTCTAAAGCAAAATTATTTATAAAGCTGAGATTTTGTCCATATTTAACTGACTTAGGAAAGCACATTTTTAATAAGGTGGTGTCTATCAATTTTGAGCCAAAGGTGGTATGTTTCTTTTTTTATTAGTTTAAATAGAGATTTCTATTCAAGAGGTCAGTTTTTGTATTGGAACAGGCACCCAAATGTCGATGTAGTTAATTCTGGCACAATGTGTTGAAATAAGCCATTTTCTCATCTAAATTTGAGAGGATAAAAATGTTTCTTTTTTTTTTTTTTTTTAAAGAGAGAGCTGCCATATCAGCAATGAAGTCTTTCTTACCTGTGTGCCTTACACACTTTTTCTCCTTCCCCTCTCCTGCAGGTTTTTTTACTGTCTTTGACACTTTGGTGTAGTCTGTTCCCTTTTTGTTTTTTCACATCCTATCAAAAGGATGTTCTGCCTATCCTAATTGCTTGGTGATATGTGAATATGCCATTTTTATTACTAAATGAAAAATTTTTTACCTTGGTATTTCTTAAAGTGGGACATAGACTTTTTCCCCCCTTTATTCAGTTTAGTAACAAGTGTCACCCTGTAATTAACCCTTTGGGAAGATACTGTAATTACAGAAGAATTGTGTGATACTAAGTGTATAGACTTGGGAAATTTACAGGTTGTAACTTAGAAAATTCTCTTTAGAGAAAGCAGAAATAATAGTTATGCTTGGTACTTCTGTTTTGCTAGGTTATAACCTGAAACTGGTAACGGAAGCACTGGTTATAATGAGCTGTGAGCAAAGGAGGTAACAGGAATTGAGCAGTGGTTTTGCTTCGTAGAATGAAACACCTTTACAGCCTTTGTAACTACTTTTCTAAGTTTGTGGCTTCTTCTCTTGCATCTGCTGTATTGTCCGTCCTGGCTCTATACACATAACATAATTACTCTGTACTACTACTATGTGTTTGTGTTTCTGCAGTCTGGCATGTTTGATGCTGGGATTTGATGTTATTCAGATGCATAGCCTTAACCATCTGATACTTGTGGTTTCAGTTCTAGTCTTCTACAGTGATCTGTTCTGATAGTTCAGAGATGCGTCAGAGGTCTGCATAGCCCCTAGCTTAAATGGTTATCTGCCTGCTCTGTTACTTCAGTGTGCCCTTCATGGCAATATGGAAGTGGGGAAGCTTTGGTGTTTCCATGGAGGAACTGGATTGTTTTATGTTATGTTTACTTATGGCAAAGATGAGTAGTGCGTTGGTCCTCTTTTGCCTCCTTAAGAAACACTTTCTTTAGTCACTCACTGAGGAACTCTGTGTTCAGTTGAGTTTTTGATTTTTATTTTCCTGGGAAATGTCACTTGAAACAAAGTTTGGTTTTCATATTTTACTTTCATAAAATGTATGAAAGCATTCTTTTGTGCTGTCCCCCTTCCATTTTGTTCAGTGCTTGAGGATGTAAAGCAGAATGAAATCTGATTCTCTAGTATGTAATAATGCATCTTTTTCCATCTTTGACCGTTCCTTTCCCATGGCAATTTTGGTAGTTCATTGGCCTTTTTCTTCTGTCGTACGTAAACCACAATCCACTGCCAGGATACATCCCCGCTTGTTTTTCTGCTTGAGCAGATTAAACAGTAGCAAGGAAGTCTTCCTTAAAGGCTTAAGAAGTTTGTGGACTACGCTTGCCCATTCCCTTAGTAGGCTCTAGCAAGCTTTGGATATTAAAAGAGTATCTGCTGGAGACAGTTTGTCACCGTTGGGCTGAAAGAGCTTGGCTTCAATGACCGTAATCACTGGTTGCTGCATGCAGACGTGGCAATGCTTTTTGATTTGCAGTCACTGCAATTTCTCCTCTTCATCCTGTCTTTATTGGCAGAAACCCGAATCTTCCTGGTTCCCCTTCCCATCCTTCTTCAAAAGGGAAAAGGAGTTATGAGTCATTCACTGATTTTCTGATCTATTGGTGATGAGGGATGTGGCCTCTGTGTCTGCTGCTGGTATGGTGGGTACCTGTGTTTATGGTAGGGAGATGGGGCTCCTGTACCTCATCGAGAATGACCGGAGGCCTTCCTTGTACAGGGCCTTTTTCTCTCTTAACTGGTAAGAGAAGCTGGATCTCTTTCCTGAGTGTTAGTTACAGTAAAGTTGTCCATTGATGCATATTGGACCCAGTCAAGATTCTGAAGTAGATTTTTGCTGCCTGTCGTTCCAGTCTTTGAGAAATGTTATGAACTGTGAATGAAATTGATTTTTTTTTTTGTTCTCCTATGCAGTTGCCTGTGGGGGAAGATAATCTGCTTTATTTATGATGGGGACCTCAGCTTTAGTGTTTCTTCTTTAAAGAATACTTGTTCTTCAGTAAATACATTTAAACTGCTGGCTGCTAGAAACTGGAAGGAGGGTTTAGTCAAAGATGTCTTTGTTTTCCCCTGTTTGCTGTTAGGCAGTGGCTGAGGCAGTTTACTCAGCTGCAGGGAACTTTTGGTCTGATTAAGGATTATTACTGTTGTGCACAAAGAATTATTGGCTCGTTAGGATGATAAATGTGCTGACTAGCTGGTTAGCTTTCCTCGTGCTGTTGTTCATAGACATCAGTGAGCTTTATTGCAAACTGGATGAGGTTTGTTTTGTTCCCTGGTTCTTTCTTCAGGCTTTCCTAGAGGTAGCTGGCAATGTGTTTGCTAAACCAGCACTGGCAGCGATTTGCAAAGCCGTCTGGCTCTGTGTGAGGCATAGGTGTGTATTGAAAACTTTCTTCTGTCTCTGGAGGTTTGTGCTTCCTCAGAAATTTGTAAGCAACTTCTGGGCTCTGTCTCTTAGTGTGTTGCCATCTAGGAAAGACCTTCAGGCAGACCAAAGAAAAATTCATACCTTCGACCAGTTGGTCTGTAGAGCATACTGCTCTGTTACTGAATTTGGTGCCTACCAAAGCCTGCTTCCATTGTAGTCTCTTGTGCAGATCTGATCATCTGATGAAGATGTGAGGTCTTACAGGGTCTATTAGTGGCATGCATTTCTTAAATCCCTATACAAATACCTGAGATTATGCTTGCTATTTAGGCTTCATTCTTTATATATCTGCCTTGGATGTCCTCTTAGTATGCAGCTATTTTTTCCCCTGGCGATAGCACGATTGTTATGGAGAAATGATGTTCCATACTTGCAGGGCAAATGTTGATTTACTTTGCTATCCTATCCAGGTCAAAAATACAGTTTTGAAGTGGGAGTATTTTTGGCAACTGGTATGATTGCTGACTTGCGGAGAAGCGTCTGCGCATCAGGCTGGTGGAGCTTGGGTCAGTATGGGAGAACTGGAGTTTCCCATTTGGAAGTGTGGGGAGATAACTGCTTCTGGTGGTACTAAGCAAGGCAGTACAGAGTTTCAGCTTGGGAAGCAAAGGAAAGCAAATTCACTCTGCCAGGAAACAGTCAGACTTGAGAACTGATGCAAAAAATTCCAAATGCTTGAAAGATGAACGTAGCCTGAGCTATTGCATTTTGCTAGGTTACCAGACTGGCTGTGTGCTGTCATAGAATCATAGAATCGTCTAGGTTGGAAGAGACCTTTAAGATCATCAAGTCCAACCATCAACCTAGCACTGCCAAAACCACCACTAAACGATGTCCATAAGCACCACGTCTACCCATCTTCTAAATACCTCCAGGGATGGCTACTCCACCACTTTCCTGGCAGCCTGTTCCAATGCTTAACAGCCTTTTCCCTGAAGAACTTTTTCCTAATACCCATCCTAAAACTACCCTGGCATAACCTGAGGGCATTTCTTCTTGTCCTATCACTTGTTACAGCTGAGAACAGACCAACCCCCACGTCTCTACAACCTCCTTTCAGGTAGTTGTAGAGATTGCTAATGTCTCCCCTCAGCCTCCATTTCTCCAGACTAAACAACCCCAGTTCCCTCAGCTGCTCCTCATAAGACTTGTTCTCCACACCCTTCACCAGCTTTGTTGCCCTTCTCTGGACACGATCCAGCACCTCAATGTCTTTCTTGTAGTGAGGGGCCCAAAACTGAATGCAGTACTTGAGGTCGGGCCTCACTGGTGCCGAGTACAGGGGGATGGTCACTTCTGTAGTCCTGCTGGCCACGCTATTCCTGATGCAGGCCGGGATGCTGTTGGCCCCCTTGGCCACCTGGGCACACTGCTGGTTCATATTCAGCTGGCTGTCAACACCCCCAGGTCCTTTTCCACTGGGCAGCTTTCCAGCCACTCTTCCACAGGTTCTGTAGTGCCTCATGCGGTTGTTGTGACCCAAGAGCAGGACCTGGCACTTGGCCTT